TGAATTTTCCGGAATAAGTCCAGCAGGCATTGAATCAAGAGGGAATTTGGCCATCTCTTAATTTACTCTGAGAGCCACTGAGTAAGTTGATTCTCCAGCAACTTGTCTCATGTTATCTAATGGGGATAGTTAACATTCAAACCGAATAAGACAGTGAACTTTACTTTCTCTGCTGTTCCAAGTTCAAATGCTAAAATTAGCCTCTAGGGAGTAGCATAAATTAATTTTTTTGTGGATTTGCAATTCAAACACTTAGCAACACACACAGTCATGTCTACTATAAACTGGCTAAATTAAAAATGATCGTCGTGTGCATCTGTAAACTCTCAGGGTTGAGTATAATGTGCGCATTCCACCGATCGAACCAGGGGCCTGTCCTGTCCAAACACATCATACGTATTTTTTCGCAGAAGAGGGGAAAATAAACCGTGTCCTGCATTGGCTCTTCATTAAGTTCCAAATAAACCTTAACTTAGTCTTTATGTCCATCCCTACCTCTCTTCTCACTCCTCTTTCTCCTCCTTTCTCTTCCTTCCTACATGGCCTGAGGGAGCAGTTAGCTCTCTGAATGCTCTCACTCTATTGTGAGTTCACATTGATTGCCTCTACCCTCTCCAAAGCCAGTCGGGCCAGTCAGCATGGGGTACAGGCTGTCTGCTTTATCCACCGTGGCTCACATTTTTCTGAGAAATAAAAGAGGGAGAGAGAGTCTCGGAGTGAGTTCCTCCTCCACTCCTGCAAAGAGAGAACCAGATGCATTTGTTTTACTCCCCCCTCTCCCTCTCTTTTTCTCCCTCTCCGGCCTCTCCTCTCAGTGGCTGTACTCTAAAGGGAATCAATAGTGTACTTAAACGGATTTCTCTTGTGTCTTGTTGTCAAATACGTTGTGCACCTCTGCCTTTCTCCATGTGGGCTGATCTTTGTGCGCTACGGTAACGTCTCAGCACCGCTCATTTATATGTCCTTGATCTGCATTTCCGCTCTTTGTCTGTTTTACACTTCTGCAATATCCTTTACACCTACCCAGTTAATGGTGCTTTGGCACAGTCGCTTGTGTTTCCTCTAAGGAGGTCTGTGAGGGCGATAGAGCGCTGTGTAAAGAAGCTGTAAATAATCTGTGAACGCTCAGTCTGTGTGTGAAAGCTTATGTCAGCAGAATTGAAACTCTCCTTCCATCATGTAGCTATGAAGTCCCAGCAGCATCAATCATTTCCCCTGTGATTGTCAGGGAATTAGCTGAGCTGTGGCGCTCCGTGGAATGCCAGCTCATGTCAGTCTGGGTCGAAAAGTGCAGCAAAATGGGCATACGTGTCCATATTATCTCTCTGGGGTTTTTTTTGTCCTTTCATTTGGCTTTTCATCTGAGAGGGAAGTAGCTAATAATGTAATCATATTGACACATTGACACCTGCCAGACCACGATTGAATTGAGCATGGTTTTGAAATTCCAATTCCGTTGTAAGCAAGCAAAATTTAAATGATGTGAAATTCAATTAATTTACAAACTTTGTATGTTAGCTTTTGAATGTTGACAGAGCCTTGTTTGAAAGTTTAGGAAAAACTTTAAAAACAAAACTTGAAAGTTTGTGCGTCTATAGAGATATTTCATGAAAATTTGCACTTCATTTAATTTGTTGATACGTTTTATATTTAATATTTATAGACACAATTGATTTATTTATTTACTTTGTTTAAATATATTTAAATATGAATACATTTTATATTTGATGATTCAATAATAAATATTTTGTTTAATTTTTTTTTATTTTACAATGTTGGTTTTACATTATTTATTTAGAATGTATTGATGTATATAAATATAAATATAAAACACTTACATTTAAGTAATTAAATAATTAAATATATATATAATGCATTATGTAAATTCCTCTTCCTTCCTGTCATTCCAGTTCAGCTTCCTGTGGGATGTGACCAGTTCAGTAAAAAAATTCACACTCATGAATTGAAAGGGAGCCCGTTTTCAGTTCTGAATTTTGCACAACCCTGTCCAGCACGTTCCCAGACCTTATAAATTCTATCTTGATTTTCGCATCTGCGTGTGTATGAAATTATACCAAGGTTCAGTCAAGCTGAAGTCACTCCACCTAAAGTCCATCCATCTTCTTGGCAGCCATCTGGTCATATTGTCTCAGAATGTAAGAGTTGAGGGCTTATCCACGAACACTAAGAACCCTTACAACAACCAGCTTTGAACTGAAGTGTGCTGTTCATTGACTGCTCGTGATTTTGTTCGCATGAACCGTGGCATCTCTGAAGGACTTCACAAAAACATGATTAATGGCCCAGAACACAGGATATTACAAGCAGCTTAAAAGGTATATCACAATACACACTGTGGTACTCAGCATTACTAACGCCATGCTTTGATACTGATGTTACATGGGGATATCCATCTTTGCAAAAGCCATTTGAGGCACCAGTCATCCTATCGACAAATTCAAACAGCATCTGTTAAATCACTTTGAAAGTCAGGCCTTGATAAAGTGCCTCGAGACCTTAGGAAGAAGTGCATGTCAACAAAAAGACATTAGCCAATCAGGATTGAAAAGGAAGTGTGGTTAAAGCAGCAACTGGAAAACTAATGGAAAATATCTGAATGTGAGAAAAAGGGTGCTTTGACATTGACTGCAGCACTTAAATTGTCATTCGGCGGATAGTGAACTCTCCTTCTAAGAACAGGACAGAAATAAATATGAATTACTGCCTTTGACCGATGATGTCATCTGCTAGATTTATCCCTGCCAACTTAGATAACTGTACAGGAGCAAGTGTCCTTGAGACAGAGTGCTCAGAGAATGGGCCCCAGTCAGCAGCGGTGCGGTGGAGATGCTAAGGATGTCAAAAGACACTTCCAAACACTTTCTCTGAAAGCACTGGTCAAAGATTGTTGGGAAATAATTGACAGATGGCAGGGAAAAAAATCTGACGCCCTATTGAGAAATATGTCACAGTGTTCCTATAATCAAAACAATTGGTTCTGTGAATTGACAGGGGGTGTCAATTGTCACACCTTCTGTTTAACCAATTATACATGAGCTATAGGGGTTTAAATCACTGTCATACATGACAGTAGACTTATAGACTTATAAAAAAAGGTCATTTTTCATATCTGATTTATAATTTGATTAGTGATCATGTTAATGGATGCAGGATAGTTAACTAAAACTAAACCTAAAACCATAAAAAAAATTGTCACTTGGAAAAAAACACTAACTGATAAACTTATAAAACACTTTATTGAACTAATTTAGTTTAACTTACTGCAGTAAATAAAATTGAAACGTAAAACTTTAAACATGTATAAAATGATAAAAAATGGCAAAACAACAGAATTGCAAAAACTTTGACTACAATTAAAATGAAAACAAAAAAATTATAATAAAAATAAAAAATATGAATACCAAAATAACACTGAATGGGTGACAGACGTGGGATCATATAAATAAGCAGGTTCTCTCAATTTGGTTTGAAACATTCACATAACTTCTACATGCTAATAAAAATTTGCACTTGCGACATACACTGTATATTATGTTTGATGTATTTCAGTGTTTGCTTTCAATTAAAATGATTCTTTACTATATTGAATTGAAATGTTTAAAGTGAAATGGAGTGGGGATGGATCTCATAATTATTTTGAGCAAGTATACAAAACAACTTTTGAACAAGTATTTTCTTTTAATTCGGCAAACAGTGATGTAGATTGTATTCTTTTGACAAATTAATTTACACAGTTTCATTGCAGATATATAAACTGCTTTAATTACTGTATAGAAAAGTTATAGAACTCAGAATATGACTATATTAAAAACAATAAAACTGCTTGTCATATTGAGCAATTTGCTTTGCTCCTGTCAGGAGAAAAAAAAAGACAAGCTGTAAAATCCCAGGCAGAGTATTTGCATATCTCCCTATTTTAGGACATAAGTCATAGGGACATGCTGGAATTTTGTTGTGGTGGTGTGTGAGGCAGCGCAGCGTGTGATGCACTACTAGACGCCCGCTCGCTTGGTCAGTCGAGTCGTGCAGCATTGGCTGAGGAGAGGAGAGCAGAGGAGGCAGTAGATGCGCGCTGTGTCTCGGCACTGTTGGAAGAGTCATTGTTCCTTGACGTCACCACTCAGCCAAGCCTGGCGCTGCTGCTCTCAAACATGTCTTTGTTATTCAGAGCTTTCCATCGGCGAATCGCAAAATACGGAACGAGCGGTTCCTTTTATTCACGGGAAGTAGGAGGACTCACATGGGGGCGCGTTTGTTTGTGTTTGGGGAGGAGATTTCTATCAGATAACTTCTAACCGTTTAGATTTATAAGCGAAATACAAAAAATATGGATTTGTGTAACGCATTATTATTATTACTATTTTTTATAATTATTATTAGCCTATATGCGTATTATAATATTATATGCTTATTATTTTCAAAAATACATATTTTTTGTTTTAGAAATGCAGAAAGGAAAAAAGTAAGAGAGGATCAAATATAAAATTCGATATGAAAGTGTCTGCTAAATGCATAAATATAAACTTAATGCTTAATGTTCACACAAAAATGGGCCTTTATTTATGTAAATAATTGTTTATATGATGCTTACTCATAATTAGAGCTTGAAAAGAATGGTCACATTTTGCTGCAGTTCTTATTTACTTAAAATACTAACAGATTAGTAAGTGCAAATGGTACATTATAACAATAATTGCACTTTACATATGGCGTTGTTTTGATACATGTTATATCTTTAGTCATACTAGTTACTATGTATTCATCATTAACCTGCCTGGAAAGAAAGGCATTGTGGTCTCCGTGGTTTGATTATAATGAAGTAAAGCCAAACGACATGTTGTAGTATTCGAACAGCAAACAACTGGCGCTCGCGTGTAAATCCAGTCCGTTCATCTGCGCGCGCCGCCTGGTGTCTTCCAAAGGCGCGAGCGCTTTACGCGACTCTGGGACACATTTTGTCAGCAACCAGCAAGCATGGCTCGGTGGTAATAGAATAGCCCGTGTAATTTGACACTTCAACTTGCCGTGCACTACGTTAGTTGATTCAGACAGTCACACTAACGAAACGCCGTGCGCTTTTCTCTCACTGTTTGTGAAGTGTGACGGAAGAAAACAGATCGCAACTTCAAATCCAGGAGATTTTCGGCGCCGTGCTGTGATTGGACCTGAAAGTAAGTTGTGTTTGTGGTTTCCTATCATTTTCACACCTCGCTCGCTGGGAAGCTTTTTATGCATTGCATTGAAATGAATCCGAAGCCTCCGCGCTAGCTCCAACCTCAGCTAACAATAGAGTCACTTAAAGTATCGCTAAGATGTGTACACATGTATTTCTGCGCAGGAAACAATTGCACTAACTGAAACGTTGGCGATACGGCTTTGTGTTTTCGAAGCAAAACACTAATGAGCAATTTTTCCTGGACAGTGGCGTTCAGAGGAACGCGGAATTTGGCTGAACCGGAGAAGCCCACCGTTTACGTACCGTTCAGCGTATCGTTCTGGTGTGTTGCATTGTTCAGATGAAGAGGGCACTGTCATGCGGTGGACGGTTGGTTGGCACGCTTAGATGGGCACATTTGGATGGCTTGGTTGCACGAATGCGATTTAAATTCGCCGGGTCTTTTTGATTAGGTGAAAATTATATTGTGGCTGCTTGATAAGTGATAGGAAACAAGGCTTTCCACCATGTGCTGAAATGTGATGTTTCATGCTGTGCTCTAGTAACAGGACAGCCGCGTTCGGAAGCGCGATGATACGTTGTAACCGCTTATACATTGTAACATCTCGTTCGAATCTTGGAATCCGTGAATGCTTGAATGTAACATTGGAGCAGACTTTGAGGACACGCTGTCAGTTGGTTGGGTACCAACTGACTGTGATCTGGATTTCGTAATAAGATTAAAAAAATAAAGTGTTTGTAATTAGAAATCATTGCATTTTTACATATAGGCTATTTAATTAGATGGCAGTTGACTTGTGATTGCATAATTACATATGGGTTACGTTAGATGCCAGGAAACGGCAATAAATTAATGTTTCATAAATTTGTAATTTACTGATTGTGCCCTTGTAGCTGTAAAATTCGCACAATACATGCAAAAATAAATTCAAGCTGATACATATTGTGGTATGCAGTTGTTATTATTTTCAAAATATTATTTAATGTAACATTGGAGCAGACTTTGAGGACACGCTGTCAGTTGGTTGGGTACCAACTGACTGTGATCTGGATTTCGTAATAAGATTAAAAAAATAAAGTGTTTGTAATTAGAAATCATTGCATTTTTACATATAGGCTATTTAATTAGATGGCAGTTGACTTGTGATTGCATAATTACATATGGGTTACGTTAGATGCCAGGAAACGGCAATAAATTAATGTTTCATAAATTTGTAATTTACTGATTGTGCCCTTGTAGCTGTAAAATTCGCACAATACATGCAAAAATATATTCAAGCTGATACATATTGTGTAATGCAGTTATTATTTTCAAAATATAAATGTTTACATACTAGTTTATTTGACTGTTTAATCTAAGGAAACTTAATTTGCACTTGATGCACTTATTTACGATTCAATATTCAGCCAGACACATAATATAGAAATAAGCTGATAAAGCTGATGTTAAAGAAGTACGTTTCTTGTTGCTTTTGTTTGTATTTTTATCAAAATCCAGAAGTGAACAGATTATGATTTAGTCATAAAATTTGTAATTACATTAAGAAGAAAACTACCCAACATGGTACAGTTCACACATACCAAGTGTCCACCAGCTTTTTTTTTTTTTTTGGTAATGCATGTATTAGTTATTTATTTTTGATTAGTAAGTGAACAGTTTATTCATGAGATTCTTACAGTTAGTAATTCTACAACTTTCAGCTTTGGTTAATAAGATTATATTTTCCTACATGATGTTTAATGAAGCCTGGCCTATACTTTATACATTGTCATCTTATTGCTTTTGATTTTGAAATGATTGATATTGAATTATTGTAGGCAACTCTATTGCCAATACAAAGCCTATAAAGGTAGCCAAAGTTCTTGCTAGCAACAATTTAAACTTACCGTATATTGTCATTGTTTTCATGAACATAGGTTTTGTTTTCTCAAAACTAAGTTCTAACACTAGAGTTTCTCTTTGGTGGACATGCTTGTTGAAAACAGAAACTTATTGTTTTCAGCATGATTCTTCAGTCAGAGCTGTCATTTGATGACAATTGCTTGGTCACCTCTCTAGTACAGTACAATCACAGTCAATGTTTACATGGCTGTGTGAGTACTGATAATGTTAAAAACTTCCCCCTTCAGGGTGGATTGCTCCTGGAACAAAGGTGAAAGTACTGAGCTCTCGGCTCACTCGTTTTGAATTGTGGTGTTGGTTCATTATTGGAGGAGGTATGTTGTTAAGGCCAATTATTGTTAGCAAATGTTTAAAAATGAACCCACGCATAAGACTGGAGTCTCATTTAGTCTGCTGGGGGTGTATTTTAAAACACCGCAGATTTACCCACCAGTTTGATGTCCCCTTCTATGAGTGGCTTAACTTGTATGAGTCAGGAATGGAGAATGTGTCTTGGAGAGGAGAGGAGTTTATTTTCCTCCCTCCTTCAGATGGGGGCTCCAGGTTGAGGATCATCATTACCAAGGGCAGAGGCTTTAGCCGTAGTCATGTAAAGGCACAGACAGAGCTCAAGTCATTCTGTCAACGGGACTAAAGAGGTATTGCGCAGGACTTAATTGAGCTTAATGTGGGATTAAACTTCCATAAGATCATTGAAAAGTTGCATTTAACATGCCAAAATAGAGAGAATTGTCAGTTATGTCATTTGAACTAATTAACATTGTCAAAATGTATCAGATTTTACACGCAAATTATTCAGTAACAGGTTTATTAGTCATTATTGCTCACATCGCTGCCTATTTATGCACATTTGTGTCTAGCCTAACAAATGTGTTCAAGGTTGTCCAGTTTAGGAGTGTAGTCTAGATGATCTCTTTTCACATTCAAATTCTTGGCATGTGTGACAAAAGCTCGCTTAATTCACTGGGCGATTTAAGGGTGGGAATCGTGAGTGATCCCGCTATAGAATATTATCATGATACTTGAGTCACAATACCATACATAAAGGGTTCTCTTTATGAGTTGTGATACACAAAGTATTGTGAACTTTTTTTTTTTACATTTAGCACCAGCATTGAATAATCAGATGTGTAGTGGTGCAAAACTTTTGCCTTTAGGACTTTGAGGTCCCAAATGAGTGAAGAAAACTTTCTACTAGGCATTGATTAGTAGAAACATAGTACATGTTTCATAGTACTATAATATATTTGTTTCACCCACTTCTAGTCAACTACTTCAAATTTATCACAAAACAAAAGTTTATTTAGGTTTAGAAACTTGAAAAATGACACCTAATAAGAGTCATTGTTTATTATTTTAGGCAAAATTAAGTTAAAATTACTTTGGTACTCTTCATTAATGGTGTTACATACTGCATCTCCTCTTCTTCTTAAAGCAAGAATGAGGCACAATATGTTTTTTACCAGCTAAAAAAAATACTAATCAGTGTTTTGACAGGTTTACATTTAACTGTTAGCACACTATTGTGGTGAAATTGAGAAATAGTTGGTCCACGTTCATTCATCATAAAGCGAACAGTCGTCTAGCCACCACCCGCACACGCCCACTCTTGAACCCGAGTCAGGCTTTGTTTGAGTCCACATGCTGCACTGTGGACATTTATTACGCTTAATACGCTGATGGCCTTTTTTAACGGTTCACATTACGTCTGCATAACAGCCTGCTCGACTTGTGCGTGCACTTTCGTTTCTGTGGTGATCGGGGTTAATGCGCTAACATGAAGTATAGCCTCCGAACCACAGATTATTCAGACAATAGGAGTGCATGACTTGTGATTTCCTTGCAGACTTACGGGTATGTTGCGCCGTTTCATCTTACGGTTCGTGACCTCGGCGAAGCAGAGGGAGAGGGACTTTTGATTTTAATTACATGCATCTGCAAAGAGTGTGGCGTGGGACCGAATCTGCTTCCAGGCTGCATAAGTTGAAAGCTTGTTGAAGGCTGCCTCCGACTCTCGAGCTGACAATGTGACCAAGGATGCACTGGGATACGATGTGCAAAGCATTAGCTAGCTGGTGCCATTCTAAGTGCTTTACCCCTCAGATAGGGACTTTCAGGCCCACACTGTCACGGGCTCATGCATGTTTGATTTGACGCTCTTTGAAAAATGAACGCAGAAGATGTCACAATGGCTGCATCCCATTTCTGTCGGCGAGAGCAAGTACTTTGAATCAAAAATGACACCCAGCTACTCTTTTTCCAATGCGAGGGCTTGATATTTGGCACTATAGCACAAAATGTCTCCACCACACTGACAATTTTGCATGATCACAAGCAATTACCTCCATTTTTCGGTGCCAATAAAAGCTCGCAGCACTTTGAAGTCTGGCTGCCGCTGTGTGCTGTGCAAATCCAGCTTAAGCAAAACAAACATATTGTCCTCAGCCTGTTTTCTTTTGACTGAGGCAAATTAGTATACATTCAGTGAGCCATGTTCTCCATGCTACACTGTTAAGTCCTGCTACTCTCTTAAAGAGATCCATCTCTCTTTGAGAAACAAATATGTGCGTTGTTAAGTACACTGATTCTATAGACTCAAAGTCAGGGCTCGGTTTCAAGTCATTGAAAATATTAGACTGAAGTAACTTCAGACGAAAGCTATTTAATAGATATTTTGACATGTACAAATTCTGCGTTTGTGCTTTTTTTCAGCAGTGTTTATCTGTATGCATTTATTCAGGCTTTGCAGAAGAACGCCAGTGCATCTGCGTTCATTTTATGTATTGAAATACTGCCATGTTTTCCATCATGTGGAAACCTTGGACCTTGTCACCGTGTCTGAGCTGTCTGTCTCTGCGAGCGGGAGATTTCCCTCAGTCCCGGCGAGTGATCACTGTGTTTCTGAGAGGGACTTGCAGTTACATTCAAAGGTTCAACACAGCCCGAGGGATTCATACATGTTTTCTGACAAAGTAAATTAATTAGGTTTTCTTAGGAAAGATAAATATGATTTCTCATCCAAATTTGCCTTTTACGGGAGGGAGGATTTGCGTTTGCGTGCGCCAAGTGACACGCACACATAACCTTGGCTT